TGGCTCCACAAAAACGGCTAATGACGGCAAGGTATGGGAGGGGCGATAAGCCAAGTGCGCGCCAAGAAACATTTGGGATATTTCTTCTTCCATTTCTCACTCAGTTCTTGAAGCGATGCCTCCATAGCCAAGCTCTTGCAGCTGAGAAGCGAAATGAACATATCCATCTCTTTTCAAGGCGTTCACAAGCTCTGGAACAACGTGAAGAGTTTTTCACACTTTTGTGTCAAAGAAGTTTCTGTCAAGTCAAAGATCGCCTTTCGTCGCGCAGCTACTTCATCCGAGCAGCCATCGCAAGAGAAAAACTGAGCCTGCATAAATCGGAATGGCAATGGGCAAAAAATCTGTTTAGCAACTTAATTGATTTTCGTTCAAGATGCTCTTGCGCTGCAGGCCATGAAAAGAAGTACAAACCAGCGTGCAGGTGATTCCATAGTCAGAACAGAGCGAGGCAAGAAAAAACACAAGAAATGGAAATGGCCAACCTCATCTATGGTGTACTTGGGCAGAATTTTCGACGCGAATCTGCAAGACAAGTTGAAGGAGACAGAAATGACATGACTTGCTCCCCGGCATGTCCCAAAATCTCCCGAGAGAGCTTCTTAAGGCCTGAAAGTCAGGGCTAGCGGGTATGTTGCTGCCAGGGTCATCAGTCGCTTACCGATGAAGGGAATCGCACGGAGCTGGCCCGGACAGTGGCGAGAGCTGATGCTGCAAGCATTGCATTGAAATGAGTCGGCACTGAGTCAGCACAAAAGCAGTTCTGACACAAAACAAGACAGCCACACCCCAAAAACTGCTGCAAGCACTGCAACAGAGTCATCGTGCGAAAAGCCTCAACAAGTCCACTGGCTCAATTGCAACCTGCCTGTCCTTTTGAAACAATAAACAATAGCCCCGTCTGTCATCAGCGACGGGTAAGGAACTGACCCAAACCAGATGTCAGCGCCAGCCACAGTAGCCTCGATTCAAAATAGTGACAGTAGTCAAGGGGCCAGAGCCACAACAAGTCTAGAATACAAATACAAACATAATCCGCCGACCCCAGCCGTGGCAAGGGGAGCGAGGAGTACTAGTACTAGTACTAGTACTAGTACTAGTACTAGTACTAGTAGTACTAGTAGTAGTAGTAGTAGTAGTACTACGACTACTACGACTACTACGACGACTACGACTACGACGACTACGACGACTACGACTACGACTACTACTACGACTACTACTACGACGACGACGACTACTACTACTACTGGGCGGACGTTGTTTCTTACCCCACCCACCACTGCTGGGCGGACGTTGTTTCTTACCCCACGCACCCAGAAGTTACCCCATCCCAATGGCACACAGGGCCTACCCCAGGCCAACCGGAAGCTACCCCAGGGACCAAATCCTATTGGCACACTGGTACCACGCCATCGTTGGTTTGGCAAACGTGCCATTGCGAACCACATTTTTAATATCATCTCCTTTGGTAATAAAACCATGTCGAAAGTAAGCAACCGCCATTGGCACGCACGCATTGACAGCAAAACAGCTGCCTTCTATCCAAATGAGAAAAGTAACCAATTCTGCAGCACACGCCTCGTTTCCTTGTCTTGTCATGTCTCTGGACATGGATTCGTTTGATTTCGGTTGTTTAACTATCTGTTTCCCAATGGCACACCTAGTGCCAAATAAGTCGTGCAAAGCATCCCTGACCCGAGCCCCTGCGTGATTCTACGCCATTTATTAGAACTTGCGCCAGCCGCATGGCACACCGCTTACGCCAGACATCAATAATCTTCCGCCAGGTGGAAATCCTATTGACACACCGACGGTCAAACTGGACTAATTAATTCAGAAGCAGCAGCACAAGCAACAACAGCAGCAGCAGCAGCAGACCAAGCAGCAGACCATTGCAAAGCCTTTCCAAAACCTCTCCGGGTTGGGTTTTGATTGGCTGCAATTTTTACCGAGGTCCGAACGAGGTGCTAACGAGGTCCGAAATCAAATTTTGGGAGACTGACCCCCTAAGTCTCCTGACAGACTCTTTGGTAGCCACACGCTTTTGCAGTCTTTTCAGAAGAGTAAAACTCAAGAGCTTTCAGCGGTGGAGCAGAAGAGGAAACCAAGCCAAGCAGCAGCTGCAGGCAAGAGCTAAGAGACAGAAGAGGAGACAAAGGGCGAGTAAGGGAGACAGAGGGGAGACAAAGGGACGCAAGCTTGGCAAACAAGGCGGCGGTGACAAATTTGAGCGGGCACAGACTGTTTGAGACGTAGGAACCGTGATAGCCAAAGATATCTAAAGGCTAAAACTGTCTGGGGAAGCAAAGCCATGGGCAGAGGAACCACCAGGCATGGGGCAGCAGGTCAGCATGACCTATGTTTGATTGTCTATATTTGAGCCCCAAACTGAAGCAAAACACAACTTAAACACATTTTTTACGAATTAAACGTGTTACCAATTTCAAAACTCACAAATCACCACCTAAACGCCACGACCGCAACGACTTCCTAAAAATTGTCTGCCAACCTAAATCCAGGAAAAGTATACAATTGCCACGACTTTCATCTTTGGGAGTATAGTGGGTAAACCCACAAAAGATATGACAGGTAAGCATCGTGTGCCTACGCGAAGTGCCAAAAAATACATCAACAAGTTAAAATCATAGGCGCTCCCCATGTGGGCCTTTCCCCATAGGCACACCACGATTTGGCACAAGATCTTGTCATCGGCACTTGTTACAACATCGACCCAGCTCCCAAACTTGAACCCACTAGCACCAAATGGCAGGCACACCGATGTTGGCACAAGATCTGTTGTGCTGCACAAAATCATTGAAACACCCAGTGCCACATATTCTCTTTGACCGAGCATGCCACTGCGTTTGGATGCCACAAGTATCAAACCAAGTAATAAACAAACATGTTTATGACAACCAGTGTGCCCCTGCGTTGTGTGCCCTGCAATGGACAAACAAACCATAAGAAGGTTAATGACTACAAATGGAAGGTTCATGTTGGTGAAATTCAGCTTGCCTATGCGTTTTGTGGTCTTACAATAAGCAATGATCCAATGGAAATGATGTCATATATATCTTTTACACACACTTCCCCACGGCACACCGACCTGAGACAACTTCAGGGGAGACGAGACAAGAAACGACATGAACCCAATATATATATATATATATATATTGTATCATTATCTCATAGTATCTCTATGTTTTGGTGTTTTGAGCTTTTGTGTTGGCCATGCTTGGCTTAGATACAAACCATTTCCGCTGCTGGCAGCGACATTCCTCCCCTGAGACTTCCAACGATGCTTCGGGGTAGTACTCCTGCACCTCAACCGGAGCTAGCTACCCCCCGCAGGGTCCAGAGTTTGAGCCTTCAGAAACATCCGGCATGTCCGGGTTTATATAGCTTGGGGATGGTTGAAAAAGGTTGAACATATTGGTTTGATACCTGAAAATTAAGGAGAACTCCCAAATGATCTGGTTTATCATCATTTTCCCTATTACTGAATGGCCATTTGGTGGTTGAAGCCGAATTTCAGACAATCGTATAATTGGGTTTACCATGGTAATAGGGCTCATTAGGGGGAATGACATAGCAATCTTTTTGGCTGGTGAACAGACCCAGTTTCAGTGGTCAAATCCCAGTACTTGTTGGATTTTTAACCAGGCTGTTGAATCACCAAACCTTCAAGGGGTTCAACCATGTTGAACCCTGATTTCGGCGTTGAAATCCACAATGTCCCCCTGGCCAACAACGGGCCCGGGCTCCCTTGCAATATAGTCGAAGGGCACACCAGACACAATGGCAATCAAACTCTCTGGATAGACCTGAAAGATCCATGGAAATTCAACAGTACTCTGACCTGGCTGGTGAACAGGCTGCTTGTGGAGATATATGGATGATCCAACTGTGGATAGGCACTAAAAATCGCAAAACAACACTGAATGATTTTGGGGAATCACTCATCTCATATGGATCAATTGCAAATCTTTTTGTTTCTTTTGTTTTTCTGTCCTGTCTGGGGCACATTTCCTTGTTTGCTGCATTTTGGAGCTCAAATATCTCATTTGCTCCATTTTGGAGCTAAAATCTGTCATTTGCTATTTGCAGCATTTTGAACCTAAAATCGCTAATTTGGAGGGTATTTACAATGTCTTGGACTTTGAATCTCTTGTTGGCGGAAAATTCGCAGCATCTTGGAGCCGGCATTTGCACAATAGCATTTGCATCACGTTTACCGTAAACTGAAATCTCATGTTCGCATGGGTATTTGTTGCATTTGGGCGCAACAATCTGCAATTTGCATGGTATTTGTTACATGTTTAAAAAACGGTTCTCATTGTTATTTGGCGGTTTTCTACCTTGTTAATAACACAAAAACAGCAGCATGTTGGCAACTTTTTGGATTTTTTTTTGGTTGGTTTGGTGCTGGTTTGGGGTTGGTTCTGTTTTTTTTGGGGGGGTGGGTTTAGAATTTATTTGGGGTTGGTTTCAGGCTAATTGTAGGTTGGTCTAGACTTTATTCCAAGGTTGGTTTGGGGGTTTGCTTACGGTGTATTGAAGGTTGGTTTAGGAATTTAGAGTTTATCTAGGGTTGGTTAAGGGTCTTTTTGGGGTTGGTTTACGGTTTAGGGAAACACTGTGTGCACCTAAATAACTGTACATATGTATGTATATGATTATGTAAATTATGTACCTATATGTGTAGAGTAGTTTATTTACAAACGTGCAAGCTCGGACTCAAACAAAGAGGGGGGAGGAGGGGGATTGGGATTGAGGGCGCAGCTCCCCCCAAAGCAGAACGACAACACCTACTCTCACATGTAATGCTGTAGGTTGCATAAGGTACTCAGGGTGTATATAATGCACAACGTGCACCTTGTGAACATGTAGAATGTAGGTTGAGGCACGACCGTGTTGGGTGTAAATCCTTTCATTCGATGTTATCAAAGTGCTCTCATAAATTATATTATTGTAATGTTCTTTTCTTATTAAAAATCATTGTCCTTTTATTATTTCCAATTGATGTTTTGTTTGTTGTCTGTACAATAGTTGCAGCATACTGCCAAGAAACCACAAAAGGCAAAAAAACAAGAAACCAGAAAATAACAGAAACACAAAAAACAATAAGCTAAGAAACTGAGAAAGCAACAGTCGCAAGAACCACAACGGGAAATAAACACACACTTGCTCAGAACTGTCATTGCGAATTTTGTGGTGGAAAGCATCTTACGTGCAAAAAAACACTTCCATTACGCCTGACAGGAATGGGTCGGTGAAGGGACCTGAAAAGCATTGAGAAGCTACCATCGCCATAGCCAGAGAGTTGTGCCAACTCGTACCACCCGTAATTGAACTGAATTGGTTGCAATAAAAAGGGTGAAAACGACTTGCCGGTTCTTGGCTTAGCCGGTCCCCATGTTCGACAAATTGAAGTGCTGCAAAATGGAGTTGAAATGGCAGGCACGTGACAAAGGCGTCCCTTCGTCATATCACCATGGAAAGGCAATGTCTTCGTTGGTGGATGACTGCCAAACCATGCATCCAGCCCCTGCACTTGAATAATGATAAAGACAGAAAATTGGAATTGAAAACCGAAACTCCATCAGGTAAGAAGTTTTACATCTCTTCAGATGGTTCACACGCACAAAAACCAAGAAACCCGACTGGAAAACAAACAAACATCCCCCCAACAAAACATAAACATCCCCCCAAATAACCATCCATTTAATATTTTTTTTTCAAATCTAGGGTTTGCAGATGCAACTTAGCATGTGCTCACAGTTGATTTCAGGTCGCATGCCATGCCAACATTCCATGCACAGAACGTTCGGGCCTGGGAAGAGTCCAAGATCACCCCAAATTGTGATAATCTGATACTTTAATGGTACCCTCCCAATTAAACAGCCTAGGGGTTGTTAATCCAGTGTTGACATTAGATAGAACGTGAGAAGGACGTCTGAATTTTCAAGACATGCAGTTTGTGGTTTCTCTGCATGGTTTTTCGCGCCAATGAGCACCCCACGTGCATCGCAGCGTCAATGCGCAACCTAGGCACATCACGACGGTACCATCTTAAAAGATATCCAAATGGGCATGGGTCAACAACTATTACAGTACCATATTTTGGACATCCATAAACCAACTATTTTAGGGATTTGAGGGTAGCTAATGTACCAGGTGAATTGACCCATTGACCCATTGGCCCATTGGCCCAAATCAATTCACCTGGATTCCAAACCACAAGTGACCCACATGCAGGCCACGCCTCCATGGTATCTACCAGCATTTTAAATGCTTGGGATGATCTTCTCCTTTTAAAATCTAGACATATCTACATGTTCAAACCCCCCGGAGCAGTGGTTGTCAACAAATTGCCTTCCGTTGTGCGTCGTCATGCAAAAATAGAACTGTCGCCGGACCACACAAGTTTCATGTAAATCCACAGAAGTCATGCTGCAAAAACAAAAACATTTCCTTTTTCCCTTGCATCTTGGACGTCAAGGCGTTGAAGCAGAAACAGCAAAACATCGTGAGGAGTGTCGGGCTGAGGTCCTGAAGAAGCAAAACCAAAGGGCCCAGAGCACAATAGCAAAGCAGGCCACATAAGCTCCCAAACATATTGTCGAATATTTGTTGACGACCACGATTAACAGCACGAAGTGAAGACTTATGCCACACAAACAGGCAGCTAGCACCAATCCTGTGAGAGATGCACCCACGAGGGTCTGCCAAATTCCACTGGACATGGCTCGGGTTACTAGGTGGCTGGTTCGCAGCACCAGAGGAAATGTGAGGATATGTCAAGGGTATTTGTATTCCACAAGCAAACATATTGACAATCATGTACTCGGTCACCGAAGCAAAGCCCAGATTGGAGGCTGACATCCCACAATCCGCCTGGCCATCACAGCCAAGCGCAATCATGAAGCCACACAAAATCGCTGGCAACTGAGCCGCGAAGCAAGAATTGAGAGGGACATACTCTTCTTTCCCCACGGATGCTTCAATGCTTCCATGCAATGGGCCCCTCACATATGCGTTGAACTGGTCTAGGATTTCATCACGGCTCGGGTAGCTAGTGATGTCACGGATGTCCTGAAGCACGTCTGGGGACATCAAAGGAGCATCCGGAGCATCTGCAACAGTTCCGAAAGGGACTTGAACCGGAGGCTCCAAAGCTTCATCAAAAAGGTTAACAATTTGTTCCTGGATGACTATGCGGTCACTTTCCACTGTGCACTCAGCACTTCGAACATCGAAGTGCTTCATCTGATTTAGCATCTCCTCGTGTTTCTGCAGTTTCTGCGTGCACAGCCAGAAACAAGGGAAAGCACAGCATCCTGCGCAAACCACATTCGCGGGCACTTCATTCATCATGTAAGAGACTATGCGTGAAAGCCTTGAATCCAAATCCAGTTGGTAAGACCAGACTTCCCCAACAGTCGAAAAGCATACCAAAGTCAACAAAGTGAAGCTCGACAAGACCCACAAAGGCATCCAGACTGGTACAAAACATATGGCCTCTGGGGCGGAAGAAGTTCTCACAGCGATAGCGACTTCATAGCTGCACCAGAGTCTCTGCCAATAAGTGTAATTGGATTGGATTGGAGGAGGACGTCAACCTGCTCCTCACCGAAGTGAAGTAGTTAAGACGCCGAAATTGCCAACGCTGAGCCGGAGCTCTTTGCACTGAACAACCGGAGGGCAAGTTCAAGCCAAGAAAAGTACCACCCATGCAGCTGAAGAAGCAGCAAACGCTCATTCAAACGACCTGTTTTGACGTGGTTCGTGTTCAAGCAAAACTTGCCAGTAGGGAAGAGAACCCTTTAGTTGCGCCTTCCAAGCTTCTCCAGCCCAAACAACTGCCTCTCTGTGTTGTGACAAACAAGTAGCAATCACCTGCCGAAATTGACCTGTAAGATCAGCCGCGCTAGCATCCGCTTTGGCATTGAGCATGCGGCAACGCAAAACATCAAGCCACCCTTCGGGTGGGCGCCATCGAGGAACTTTATTATGCGAGGGAATCCAAGCACAAGAAGAGCCATCAACCAAAAGCATCCTGATATAATGCCAGTATGGAAAAAGATCTCCACCCCACTGACCAAGCCGCATGCCACGATGAAGACGTTGCACAAGAGCTTGGTTGTCAATCAGCAAGCGCACCGCTCTGTTCGCTTCATGGGAAGCCAAGCAGGCTTGAAGAAGTGCACCTCTCTCGCCCGCAGCAGGAGTTTGCTCGAAACCATGCACCAACCCATTGACCGTGGGCCCGAGATGTGCCGCCACAGCCCAGCTGGCACGCTGCCAAAGTTCGCACCCTGGAGCGATTGCGCAACTTCCATCCAAGCCCAAAGTCGGCGTTTGATGTGGGTCAAACTGTTGTAGAAAAGCCACCAGAATGGGGTCGGCCGTCATATCTTCAAATGGAAGAACAGCTGGAGCATCCACAAGAGGAACAAGCAACCGCCTTTCAGTTGGAGTTTTGAGATCACCATGCCAAGGATTTGCCTCGCAGTAGAAAGTGAAATGCTCACGATCAGGAGAGCTCAAACCACAATCACACTGCAAGTCGACTTCCAAACGTTGAGTAACTCTCCCATCCACTGCTGCACCTGTCAAGACTCTGCGACCACAATAGTTCAAATCATGCGCCACATTGGCCTGGAATTGGAACACAGGCAACTTACCTTCAGGTAAAGGACCCTCCGTTTTGGTGTCCTTCGTCCACATAAAAGCCAGCCATGCTGCAGCAGCAGCTTTGTATAAGCTTGAGGAAGACATCCACCCTGGTTTCAAAGTCCCCACGGGAGTGATCCACAAACCACCCTCAACACGCCAATTCCAGTCTTTGCAAACAGTATTCCACCTTGGGCCTGGCGAAACAGCAGCGGGCACACCTATGGCCAAGCGGCACTGGCGCTGCCATTCAGCCCGGGCTGCAGCAAAGTGAAGCGCAAAAGCAGGATGCAAACGCGGTGTGCCCAAAGAGTTCCAGAACAGCAATCTACTGCGACCTGGGGCAGGCTTGCGCCCCCAGACCGCCGCTTCAATACTGGAGGTCCAACTCTTGATGGTATCAACATCATAGTGGTGAAAAGCTCCTGTCCATGCAAACAAAGAGATCACCAACTGTCCCAGCAAGGTCTTGCGGGTGCCCAAACGTTTCGCTGCCAACCTGATTTTGCGACACCTCTCCTGAATGTCAAAGGAAAGCTTCTCTGCATTAACACAAGCACCTGCACGCTCCAAATTGTACTGAATACCCAGAAGCGTGAACTTGCTGCAAGGAGCCCCCAACACGTCCTGTATCTGTGACAGCTGAGGCGTCAAATGTTGCTTGGTTGTGAAACTATTTAACTTGTCAGGATGGAGTTCCATGCCCAGAATTGCATCAACCTGCGCACCTGCCTGCATGGCGTTGGTGACCACGTGAATGCCGTTCACACCTTTCTTCCACATTGTGCGGTCATCCAAATAAACTGCAAGAGAAACACGAGGCTCTTGCAAAAGAACGAAGCGCACCCAGACTACCATCACCGCATTGAGTAAGGCTGGGCTTGCCGGGCAGCCCTTCAGCAGCCCCCGCCGAGCACAAATGGGCTCTGAATGGAAAATGCCTTGCCAGGCAAACCACCTGCGTTGGTCAGTGTAAAAATTTTCCACCATGTCACACAAACTGGCCGGAGCACCCAACCAGCGCCAAATAGCAAGTGCAGTCTTTGGACAAACTGAATCGAAACACCTACGGATATCGGCCTTGCAGCCAACAAAATCAACTCTTGAACGTTTGGCAGCACGAATGTCTTCGTAGAGCACTTCATGAACATCCATAATGCCTCTTCCTGGACGGCCGCCACAAAGCTGAGGCAAGGCCCATTCTTGTATCCATGGTCGGAGCTTTTGCAAAGTTGCACTCATGCAGATGCGCCACAGGACCGTCGTGATGGCAAGTGGGCGCAGGCCCCCGGCCGCCTTTGGAATCAAGGCTATGCGAATATCTTTCCACATTGTAGGAACTTTCGCACACTGCATGCACGCCGACCACAAGACTGCAACGTGATTCCAAAAGGACTCCGGCAACTTGCACAAATGAGCCGCAGTCCAAGCATCCATACCAGCCGCTTTTTGTTTAGCTTTCAACGCAGAACGCGCCAAATCAGCCCCAACCACTTGAATGCTTTCAGGCGTGACTGGGTCGACCTGATTGTTGAGCTGCAAACACAAATTTGAAACCTGGTCTAAATGTGGGAGGTGGTCCGGATTCCAATGCGTGTGCCACGCAGCTGCCTCCTGTCTTGCCTTATCTTCAGGCAAAATAGGACCATCGACCTGTGTTGCTGTAGGTGGATCAGGTGGTTTTTGCTGAACCCACTTCCCCAGTTTCGCAACATTTTCTTGAATGTCCTCTTTCCAAGCAGCAAGGCGTCGCTGAGACGCCTTTTTGGCCACCTCATCTGCAAGAAGCAAAGCGGCGGGAGCCAAACCACCATCAGATAAAGAAAACGCAGTAAGAGACGAGTGCAAAAGCGGAGCATCGCGCAACAGCTTGGTTTGCAATTGCGGCGAAGGAGCCTTTTGATATTCGACCACCCGCCGTGCAAATCTTCTCAGCTTTCGCTCCTCCAAAGTCTGCAACGTAGGAGCTTTGGTTGATGGGGGGCTCGCCATTTTGTGCGGGCCGTCCCTTGATGCCCTGCTGGGCTTGCCTTGTGCAAGCAGCAAAGATTCAGCACAGTTGCTCAGGACCACCCAAGCTTGATCCACATTTCCGACGGCCAGAGCATCGGTGAAATCTTGCTGTGATTCTGCCCAAGCAACATTCCAGTTCTCAACCTCCACATTGCAAAGCAAGAGTGGTGCGCTTGCCGGCAATCTCCAAGGCGTGGGTAAGCTACCATGCACATGTATATCGTAAATGACTGCATCATGGTCAGCAACACCTAAAGACTGCATTCTTCCGGAAACAACAACTCTGGGAGTTGAAAGCGCGTAGTCAATGACCACCCCTGTGTATTCACCATCTGAGTTGCGATGGGTGCCAGGGCCAATCTGGTCTCCGCAGACTTGTTCATCGCAAGAATACCATTGCCCCGACGCCAGCGCGGTGGAGGCCGGCCAAACATGCCTTTCCCTGTTGAAATCGCCCACAATGATTGCTTCTTCGCCCAGCATAGCAACGTATTCAAAAATGGCAGCCAAGGCGTGGCCAGCAGCTGTTTGATCGTTGGCATGTAGGTACACATTGATCAGAAGAAGCGGTCGCTGGTGAGGTCGAAAAAGCTTCAGCGCAAGCTTCAGCGCCATGGCACGGTCAGCCGGTGCAAACTGACTTGGAATGGCCAACGCTTCAGCAGGCCACTTTGACAAAACTAACGTCCCGCCAATCACCACATTCTTGGCATCTACCCCTTGGCCGCCAGGAAAAACTTGCCACTTTCGCTGGTTTGCAGCTGACTTGACAGCGCTCCAACTGTCGACATTGACTCTAGTTTCTTGCAGACAAAGAACATCGATCTGCTCAGTCTTTGCTAACTCAAAAACGCCACCCAACCGGCCACTCAATGACCGGACATTCATAGTTCCCAACCTTAAAGTGCTAGACGTACCCGTCATTGGTCCGTAGAATCACCTTCCTCTTGCTGAAACCCCAAAATCTCCAAAGCACGGAGCGCCGCTCTCTGCCTCGCCCCAGGTTCTTTGTTGGCGAGCTCCAGCAAGGCGTCTTTGTTGCCTTTTCTCTTTTGGTTCCAAACGGTGCTGTTGGCGCAAGACATTCCACGGAAATGTTTCTCGTCCTTCATGCACCGCTTGCATCTCGTGCAAGCAAAACGGACCGTGAAATCTACCGGCCAGACAAGTGCCTCAATATGGTGTTTGGGCGCAGTGTCTTTGGAGCTTCCCTTGCCTGAGTCAATAATGTTCAAAACTGTACGGGCACCATCCTTGAGAGCATCACTGATGGACGCTTTGTTGAGACAAGCGCGGAGCCTTGCCAGCATCTTCTTCCTCTTGGGGCCATTGCCGGCCACATACTTTTCACAGGACAGCGTAGCAAGCTCCTTTGCTTGATTCGCCATCTTGCCACATTTGCGACAAATAACCTTTGCCATACCTCCTCTTTTCTGTTTGGCCTTGCCAGTCATAGGGAGGGTAACCAACACTGGTTCGTGGGAACCGGCATCACCTTTTTTGAGGCCCAACAGGCGTTTTGCCATGCCAGCTGCGCGCACTTGAATCGTAGCTTTGGCTGCATTTGCCGCCCTGTAACTTCCATCGCTTTTGAAACGCTGCACATTCGCTTTCGGATGGTGTTCTTCTCTATGCCTCAGTTTCATGCGAAGCACCTGGTCTCTGCTGAGATCGGCATCTTCAGGAATGACCATGTTGCACAAGTGACACTTCCACTTGAAACTCATACCAGGGGCGGCGTGACAAAGCTGACCCATAGCGGGAGTGAGCTTCAACCTCTCCTTCTCATCAGGATGCCAAGCATTGAT